ATATAGGTCAGATATTAGGTTTGCTATATGCTTTAAGGTCATAAACTGCATTGACTTTTGAAAATTGTTCAATTTATTTTGGAGACATTACATTCTCAATAAGGCCTGGGGATATATGGAATTAGCCATGTCCCCTAGCTATGCAAAGGTTATAAAGAAAATAGATTTTATATCAGAAAGGATGTTGTATGGTAAATTCTTGTCCTAAAGTAAAATGACTGGTTGTTTAAAAAGAGGGATGTTTAGGGAAAGTTAGAAAGTCTAAACATGTCATACATAGTCTGTGTAAGTCGTGAAATAATTTATGAAAAGGAATTTATGTCAGAAATGTTGTACAATTTAAAGGTGATTAGGCCTCCTAAATGCTTCATAAAATGCCACTATACTCTTAAATGTACAGCCTGCCTGCTAATTTACAGCTAGGTAAGGCCTGGGATACCTAGAGTTAGATGTTGGAAAGAATCACACCTTATCTGCATTTCTGTCTGGGTCCTGGGCTCCACACATATTACATAATTAAAATCCCTTACTTACAAAGCTTTTCACCAAAAGTAAAAAGTTGCTAAGAGTTAACTTCATAATATGTAATCAAGACTACTGAAAAAAAAAGTTTACAGGCAAGGTGTGTAAGGAGAATGAAATGTGTTTTTTTTGTAAGAGATTATAAGAAAATACAGGAATGTAAATTTTTGCCTAAGTTAGAGGGTTAAAGGATTGTTTGAAATTAAATAAAAGTAAAGGTTTGAACAAGTTGTGGAAGGTTTATAAAAATTAGTTATAAGAGATTCTGTGTGTGAACATATTGGCTAAAGTTAAAATGACATTATTCACTTTTTTCTTATAAATTAGACGTTGGAATAAAAGCACAACAGAGTTTTCTTAGAAGATTGCTCTGCTCTGAGAAAAATAATAGTGAAGGGTTATAAAATGTTTATAAAACTCTTACCTTATGGTCAAACTAATTAAAAATAGGTTTATAAAATGTTATTAAAAACTAGCTTTAACATTAAAAATACACTAATGGAAACATAAAATTTGGTTTTCTCTTTTAAAAAGGATTTTTATTTAATATTAAAAGATAACAAAAGGTTTTTGTTTACCTTTTAAGTAAACTACAAAAAAAATGGTGGGGGAGGAAAGAAAGGAGACAGTCAGTTGGCCTCATGCCATCTTCAATATGTCTTGTTTAGAAAGCTGAATCTCCTCTCTATCCTTTTTCCTTTAAAAATTGTTAAGTTATCAGTTCGGCTACATGAATGACTTATGGTAACCTAAGATTCTATGTTGTAATATCCAATGTTAAACCTTTGGTAGTTGACAAACCTTTCAAAATTAAGCTCTAGATTATCATGCTAAATCAGCCAATATTAAAATTGTTTAAATATACAATTTGAATGGTCTAAGTCAAATTACATATGATAACCCATTAGTTATCAGTGTTATACACCTAAATTGGAGAAACAATTGGTATTCAAGAGGACATAAGTCCAACATTAAGCATGGACAGCCAGCTTGTCCTTCTTGAGTTCTTAAAACTTTTGTTATTAAAGGTTTTGGAAAAAATAAAATAATCCAAATTGAATATATTGATGTGGTAACTTATAAATTGTAGAAATAGTTTAAATCCAACGTTTGGTGCTCACTTCTGCAGCACATATACTACAATTGGAACAATACAGAGAAGATTAGCATGGCCCCTGCACAAGGATGACACGCAAATTCGTGAAGCCTTCATATTTAACACTGGCTTGGAGAGCAATAGTGCAACAGTGGAAGAGCCACCAACAGATCCCATACCAGAAGATGAGAAAAAAGGATAAATTTTGCCTTGTTTTATGTGTTCTAAATACTTTTTTTAAGTGAAAAAATGTTTTTTGGTTTAAAAAAAAAATCCAATGTTTGTTTTCATATTCCTGGAAAGAGAGTCGAAGCTTCAGATACATTTGGCTACCTGATGGGCCATTTATCTTTTTTTTTTTTTTTTTTTTTTAAGATGAGGTTTCACCATGATGGCCAGGCTGGTCTTGAACTCCTGACCTCAGGTGATCCACCCACCTGGGCCTCCCAAAGTGCTAGGATTACAGGCGTGAGCCACCGTGCCCAGCCCTGATGGGCCATTTAAACATTTATAAAGGGATTTCATTTTATTGTCATTTTCAATGCATGTTTTCTGGTTGTATAAAAGGTTTACTGTGAAACAGGGCTGATGTTATAATAGTAGATTATAGTATATTTTCACCAGGCAGAGAAAGCTTTTTAGATTCACGGAGGACAATCCCTTCACAATCTAGAAGCTGAAGACTGGATTTTCTGAGAACATTAGAGAAAAGAAATACTGTCCTTGCTATTCACACTACAGCAAAACTTTGGAGCCTTAAATCTTGGGTCCCTATCTCACAACTGAGAAGGGTCCCTCCTACACTCCTGGAACTGTACACCCACTGGAACCCTTAAGGTAAAACTAACCAAAAGGTTTCTCCCCAGAACAAGATGGCATCCTTGATGTGAACAGCTTTTCCCAAGATCACAAATCAAAACTGCTAATATCACAAGACTCTTTGAATATTTTTTCCTTGTTTATGCCTCTATTAACAATAGAAATTAAAAGGGGGTCTATTACGTGCACTTATAGGGTATACTTTTATTTGTGAAGGATTTTGCAGCTAGCCCTTTACATGAATAACCTTATCCTTCAATAGATAAAAGATGAAGGCCTAATGTAGGTGACAAAGTTTAGTGGTACCATATGTTGCCTCATAATCAGTCAAACCTCCTGTTAACCCACATCATGGATTAAAGAGAACATTGACAAGAGGTCTTCACTTTTCTAGAAAGACATCATTTGTTAGGTCCTTTTTCCATGGTTTAGAATAAAAGAGGCAATAATTTGAAATGTCTCCTTCATAATAGGCCCTACAGCAAATTCCACTTTAAAGGCTATTGTTCCGCAACAGGCTTTAAATTCTCTTATGAACATAATGCTAAATAATAGAATTGGCTAAACAGAAAAGTACCTGCGCAGCTGCTGCCACTGTGGCCCATGGAGAAATACATCAAATGTAAGTTATAAAAAATTCTGGCCAGGCACAATGGCTCACATGTGTAACTCCAGCGCTTTGGGAGGCAGAGGCAGGTGAATCCCCTGAGGTCAGGAGGTTGAGATTAACCTGGCCAATATGGCAAAATCCCATCTCTACTAAAAATACAAAAATTAGCCTGGAATGGTGGCAGGTTCCTATAATCTCAGCTACTCAGGAGCTGAGGCCAGAGAATCACTTGAACCCAGGAGATGGAGGTTGCAGTGAGATGAGATCCTGCCACTGTACTCTAGTCTGGGTGACAGAGCGAGACTGTGTTTCAAAAATAAGCAAATAAAATAAAAATAAAAATTCAGTTGTAAGGAATTAATGAAAAGACCACTTACGCAAGTAGACTCTTCAGCTAGCTCATTCTTTAATTAATTTTAGGTGGTTTGGCTTATTGGGACTCTGGTAAGGAACATACTTCAAACTCTTGCTGTTATCCTCCTGATAATCATAATAATACTCTCCCTGGTGTACTGTATTTTCTCAAAGATTTTAAATGCTTTCAAGCAGCCATCTCTAGAATGTCAAATGGTCTTGCTTCAACTGGAATTACAAAAACTGAAAGAAATGTGTGACCATGAGGGCACTATAACCTAACAATGACATGCTGAGACTGGAAACCCAAAATCATGGTAACTGAGACTGGTGCTAAGGCCCTAAGTTCTGGTCACACTGTCATCTAAGTAAGAACCTGGCCAAAAGGAGGTAATTCTTTTTTTAAACAAAATTATGGGAGGCCATTATTTTGGACTGAGCTCATGCACTGGGCCCCAACAAATCAAACTAAAATGGAGTCACTCATGCTAAATGTGACATAAGCTGAGGCTTAAAAAAAACACATACATGCTAGAACAGAACAGGTTTTGTTTTTCTCCCATAAACAGGATGTTCCAGCATAAAGAGGTACCCTCTACTCGGTCCTTATTATCTCCTTGCAAAACCCACTATTCTACTGTTTCCCAGTGGGTTTTAAAACCATAAAGATACATTTACAACAGTGATAGTGACATCAATGACTTAAGGTTTTCGTCAATCTCTCAAAATGGAGAAAATGACCAAAAGCGGGAAATTGTTAAGGCAAACTAAATATGGCCTGAGAAGGACTCTGTACTTCTATATTCGATTCATTGTAGATGGACTGTAACCTAGCTTAAAAGACAAAATTGAAAACCTAACTTAATAGTATACACCAGTAACAATAACTGAATGGTGGCCAATCCCAGTGGCTCTACTTCAACCACTCATAACCTGCTGAATGCTCAGACTGCTTCAAATAAGGCAAACACCGAGCTATGACCAATATCGCTGTTTCTGAACCTCACTTCCGATTCCTGTACCTCACTTTTCCTTTTTTGTGTGTAAATTTGTTCTGACCACCAGGTACACCTAGAGTCTGTGAATCTGCTGCGATTCTGGGAGTTGCCGGATTCGCGAATCATTCATTGCTCAGTTAAACTCCTTTAAACTTAATTCGGCTGCAGTTTTTCTTTTATCAACAGAGTAAGCTCTCAGTAATCAGTGGGCTGAGTGTAAACTGGAAGGATTTGTTTGTCTTTTACTCTAAGAGTAGAAGCTTCTGAGGCTGTTCTTCATTTACGTATCCCTTCTACTCCCATCCTTCATGCCTAACACACTGCCTGGCATGTATTAGGGACTCAGTAAATGCTTGTTTAATGAATCAGTTCAGCTATGTAATCTGTGTCAGTCAGTCCAGGTAAATAAGGGAGACAAGGATTTAGGACTGAGGCGAAAGAGCCGGAGCGGCAGAAGGACGCCAGGGGGAGCAAGAATATGCAGTCTTCAGATATCGCGATAGCTCCCGCGCTCTCCACAACACTGCTTGTTCTGTTTGGGGCGGAAGCGCTAGTCCAGAGGAGGAACTACTCTAGAGAGGCAAGGCCTTGCCCATGGCGTCCGAGTTGCTTCCGGGTCGCGCTCCCGGAAGCAGGAAGTTGCCCATCCTCCTCGCCCGGCGGCGGCTGTCCCCGAGGCGGGAGGAGCCCGAGGGGGCGCGGGCCCTGCATGTGAGTGACTGGGGCCCGAGGCTGGGTGGGGGGAGGCCGCCCTGTGACAGCCTCGCCGCCGCGCCCCTCTCTAACATCCTCGTACAGCTACCCCTTGCGGCTGCTACCACTCTCTGTCCCAACGCTGATCCATTTTCTGAGCCTCTCCAGTTTCGTAGGTTGACAGCATCCTCGGCAGCTCCCCCGGGGTCGACTCCCGTAAGATATCTGTCACTTTCCTTGACTCCGCCGGGGAGAGCAAAACGAGGTCGACCTTGCTTGAACTTGTTTCTCAGGCATCACAGCAGTGTCCAGAACTTGAGCGTTGCTAACGAAGTCCAGATTTCTGCCCTTTTGATGGAATTTTTGAGAAATTGAGACTAGGTTCCCCACCCCCTTCTGAAACATCTTTTTCTAATAATTGTTAGGGGGCAACAATATTTTTAAGCGTGTACTTGGTATGTGATAAACCTGGCATCCTGGATTTAAGAAAGAAATATTACTTGGTTTATTGACACATAAAATAATTGTTTGTAATCACTTCGTAGAAGGAAATTTACCTGCGTCTTGTTTTGTAGTACTCTAAGACTGTTAACCGTGCAGGCCACACTTTTTCTAGTCTCAGAGCCCTCATAGCCTTAGTATTTGCAAATACGTTTCTTTTGAAGTATTTAGTCATCAGTCACCTTATAATAGAAACTACTTCCAGATGCTTAGTATTCTGACTTTTCTGATTGCTCATTTGGTAGTTAGTGGAATCTTCTATAGACGTCTCTCCCTTAATAAATTCGTTTATTTGAATTTGAGTTGTCAAAATTTCCCTCTAGGGAACGATGTGCCTTTAAAATAATAACTAAATTCAATTCTGCTGCATTGAAGCTTTGACTAAAGGTTCACATAGCCCAACTGGCCTACCAGAAAGAGGTCATGATTCCCTGTCAGACCTTTTCTGCCTTGGACTGAAACATTTTTCAAGACCTGCTTTGAATACCCGTTCCTCCACAGCTACTCCACACACCAAAAACAATGTCCAAGTGCTAGATTCCTAACCTGCTCACATTAAACACTCATCACATTGATGCTTCCTCTGCATTTTAAAAAAAAGAATAAAAGAATAAAGCATAAAATGAATAAACCATGAGTTACATTCAATTAATTTGGAATGATAACTCTAAGTCCTTTCTATAAATTTGTTCAACATTAATCTGATTCCATGTCTGAGATGAATTCTCACGGCTGTTTTAGTTTTTCGTGTTTTCTCCATTTATCTCTGTTTTCAAGAAGCACTATTTAGGGTGGGAGATAGGAAAATTGATGTAATACAAAGCCATAGAGGTTCATAGGACAAAAACTGAGGTCAGAGTCTTAAAGAGTTCACTTATTGGACAAAGCACTAGGCTTTTTAGGCAAAGGTAATTATTTGTGTATTCAAAAGCAAAAATATGTGAAACAGTATGACTCTGTAGAATGTGAGGAAGGATTAATGGGAAATGAAACTGAACAGGTAGGCAGTGACCAGATCATAAAGGACCATGGTAAGTAATTTGGACTTTATCTTTAAAAAAAAAAAAAAAAAGACAGGGTCTCACTCTATCACCCAGGTTGGAGTGCAATGGCACGATTATGGTTCACTGCAGCCTTGAACTCCTGAGCTCAAGCTACCCTCCCACCTCTGCCTTCCGAGTAGCTGGGACTACAGGGGTGCACTACATACTTGGCCAATTTTTATTTTTTATTTTTTTGTAGAGACAAAGTCTCACTATGTTGCCCAGGCTGGTCTTGACCTGGGCTCCAGCAGTCCTCCCACCTCAGCCTCCCACTGTTGGGATTACAGGCATGAACCACCATGCTTGACTTAGGACTTTATCTTAAAATGATTGTTATTAGGTATTTAATTTGTGTGGTTATTGGAATAAATGTGTTACATCATTTTATAATTCTCTTAAAAACATTGTGGGGTAGGCATAAATCATCCCCATTTTATACATGAAAACTCTAAGTCTTAGAGAGGCTAAGTAGTGTCATGGCCACACAGTAAGTGGGAAAAATCTAGAATTTGCATCCAGCTTTTTCCAACTCTAGTACCTGTGTTCTTAGTCACCATGCTAAAGTACTCCAGCAGAGGATGGGGAGTCTTGGAAGGTGCTTAACATGAACCAATTTGTGTTTAAAAAAAAAAAAATAGCTGGCCGAGTGTGGTGGCTCATGCCTGTAATACCAGCACTTTGGGAGGCTAAGGTGGACAGATCACCTCAGGTCAGGAGTTTGAAATCAGCCTGGCCAACATGGTGAAACCCAGTGTCTACCAAAAAATACAAAAATTAGCTGGGTGTGGTGGTGTGCACCTGTAGTCCCAGCTACTTGGGAAGCTGAGGCAGGAGTATCACTTGAAGTCGGGAGTATCACTTGAAGCAGTCAGCTGAGATCATGTCACTGCATTCCAGCCTGGGTGAAGAGTAAGACCCTGTCTCAAAAAATAACAAAAATAAGAAACTGGGCAAGGCAGAAGATGGACTGGGGAAGAAGAGAACTGGAAATATAGAGATTAACTACATCTTTGTGATGGTCCATAGGAGAGATGTTGAGAGCCTTAACTGTGCGTTACTGTAGAGGTAGAGAGGAGGGGATGAATGTGAGAATTACATAGGAGGCAGAATCAAGAGGACTTACTGGTAGTTTCATTGGTGAGAATGAGGTGGGAGGGGAATAGTTTTTAAATTTGGAGGATTAGTGTTTCCATTAAGAAAAGGAGTGCAGTAGGAGGAATGGATTGAAGGGGAAAAACAGTAAATTCGGTAATAGACACATTACAAACAGGGAGCTATGGGTGACTTGGATCGCCATGTCTGGTAGGCAGCTGGATAAATGAGTCTGGAACCCTGGAGAGAGTTCTGAACTGGAGAAGAGATTTAGGAATCACTAATAGCTGGTGGTCAAAGCGTTGGAGGGAATAAGAAGGTCAAGGACAACTGTGGTGGTTACCAGCACTTGGGAAGAGAACTAGAGAATTATGTTAAGGTTTGAGAATACTTCAGGGAGATAGATAATGGGGTGACAACAGCTGCTACAGAGAGGTCAGATAAGGTAATAACTGAAAAAAAAAATCCTTCAAACTTGGTGTTTAGAAAGCCATCTGTGGCCTCAGTGAAAGCAGTATCAGCGGAATGAGGGGGCAGAAATATGATTTCAACAGGCTAATAAATGAATGGAGACCTGAGAAACAAGAAAGTGAGTAACTTTCTCTCCTTTCTCTCCCCAACCCCCAAAGGAGCCTACCTCTGTAGGGAGGGAGGGAGAGAGTACCAGAAACTTAGAAAGGAAGGATTATGGCATTTTTCTAATAGTGAAAATGGAAGCAGAGGTCAGCTTAAAAATGTGGAGGTATCTGCTTCATATACGTCAATATCCTAAAAGGCAAAAAAAAAAAAAAAAAAAAAAAAAAAGAAAAATGTTCTGGATTTAAGTAGATTAAAGAGAGTGACAGCCAAATTCAATGTGTGGTCATTGGTTGGATCCTGGATTTTTAAGTAGCTATATATACGGTCTTTTTTTTCTAATTTGATAGTTAAGGAAATTTGGCTATAGACTGAATATTAGGTAATACTGAGATAATTACTCATTTTAATGGATATGGTAACAATGGAAGTGGTTATATAGAATAAGTCGTTATGCTTAGGAGATGCATGTTGAAATATTTAGAAATGATTTCATAATGTGTTGGAAGTAACTTTCAAGTTGTTCTGTAAAAACAGAGAGAAAGAAAATATAGCCAAATGTAAACAACTGGTGAATCTAAGTGAAGGATACACTGATGTTCATTGTACTGTTTTTGTACAAAAAGCTGTATGTATTTAATGTATACAACTTGATGAATTTGGAGATAAGTATACCCCTGTGAAACCATCACCACAATCTGTGCTGTTAACCTACCCATCGCGTCAAAGTTTCCTCCTGCCTTCTTTTTATTATTATTAGCAGTAAGAACACTTAACATAAGACCTACCTTCTTAGCATATTGTTAATATACAATACAGTATTGTTAACTCTAGGCACTGTGTTGTACAGTGGGTCTCTAGGAATTACTCATCTTGTATAATTGAAACTTTGTATTCTTTGCCCTGTTTCTTTCTGCCTGAAGCCTCCAGCAACCACCATTCTGTTCTTTGTTTCTATGCCTTTAGCTATTTTAGATTAATGGTACCAGAGGTATCACGTAGAAATGTCAGGTTGACTGAAAGGATGGAGAGGCAGATCCAGGGTCAGGTTTAGCAAGTTTATTTCAACCTGCCAGGCTGGCTGCCTCGCCACAGGCAGTGAAGGCAGCAGCCTGGCTTACAGACTATGGGGGTTATATAGGGGGTTTGCAGGTAGCCTGGTGCTAGTCTAAGAAAAAACACATTTTGGTTCTTAGGTGCTAACATTCTGCTTAATTGGGTCACCATCCTACATCCTAGAACCCAGGTGCCCTGTTTGCAAGGCTTGAGGCTGTTTTTGTTGTGAGCTTAGCTTAGCAGGGGAGAACGGGGATTCTATGGGTTTGCCTTGCTGTGACCCTAAGATTCCAGTATTTTGAGATATATGTGTGTGTGTGTGTGTGTGTGTGTATATACATATAAAGAAAGGGAGAAGGGGCACACTTTTTCGTTTCTAACTGCTTCATGTTGACTAGGGACACTGGTTAGGGTGAGGCTGGCTTGCAACTTCGTAGTCCTAGAACACCATTATATTTTGTATTATGTCATGGGTAAAAGCTTGTAATTGATTCTGCAAAAACTGGGTGAAAAGATGTAAGAGGCAAGGGCCAAAGACCAAAAAGAGGAGGAGGATTATAGCAGGGCCGAGCAGGGGAAGCAGCCTAGGGGCCCAGGAGCTGAGAGACCAGCTGGGCCAGGAGGGCCAGGCAGGAGAATTGTTTCTTTTTTTTTTTAATGGGGGGTTTGGTCTTTGAGCCTTTTGATAGTATTTTGTACTAACCTAGATTTGCTGAGGTAGAAATAGCATTGTTTATTTAAAAAGAGGTA